GGATAGAGAGGAAGGGATATTCAGTATGCCTTCCCAGGCAGTGTGTGAGAGCTTAGAATAATGTGACGACACGTACGCAAAGCCCACGGTGTAGGTTGTGGAATCGTAGAACTGTCAATTAAACAAAGATTCTAAGCTGAGGAGAAGAGGAGAGCTCGAGAGAGCTTCGATCTAAATACTTGGTGTGGGTCGCTAAGCGAGACCACGTGATCCGAATGGTGGTGACGGTTAGAACCGTCACATAAGCCCTTATCCCCCCTTTTATTCTTTACTATCCTTTAACTCTCTATAGAAGTTAGTATTTAAGCGAGAAGAATAGTCTAGTTTAGTTTCTAGTTAATAATTTTCGCTCTAGTACTATATTCTTATTCTTAAATTAATGATTAAAATAATACTAATTAAAATAAGATAAGAAATTATTAAAGAGCATAACTTATATATTTATATAAAGTATCGAGAGTTACTAGGATAACTAGAGAGAGAGAGAGGGACGTTATATTTAAAAGCGTAACTACCTTATCTAACTACTTTCTTTAGGTAAGATTCAAAGTTATACCGCTCCTGTTTTATTATCATATTAGAATCCTACTAACTTAATTCTAATCTAGAACTAGATAAATAGATAGGCTCCTTCTTGTTTATATTATAGAGTTTAAATAATACTAAATGAGATTATAAATCGTTAAAGGGAATGTAAGTGTAAAGTATCGAGAGTATTAGAATAACTAGAAGGAGAGAGAGTTAATTTTAGATAAGAGTCTTTGTTATATCGCCTATCTTTTGTTATTGGAATTCTACCTACTAGCCCGAGTCCAACCTAGAACCAGCCATCCAGAATCCTTCAACCTCTCCTTGTCGAATAGATATAGTAGAAACGACTCTCTAGTTAGAACCTACTATAATAGATATATCTCCTTACCTAAAATTATATTACTTCTTATATATCTACCTTGCTTTACCTTGATTTATCTTACCCCTACCTAAATATATATATAGATAAGAAATCTCTACCCCTTATATCCCCATTATTCAAACCTATCTTCCCACTACAAATCTCGAAACCGAATCTTCCATACGCCCGCTAACCCTGAACTTCAACGGCATTGAGAACGATATAAACAACAAACCCATTTCACAGCGCCATATAAGAGAACTGATACAATAAACGCTCTTTTATCTCAGAATTCAAGGACCTGTCCAGCTATAGCATAATGGACGTCCAAGCGGGTTTGGACAACTAAGGCAAGGAAGGGTCTAAGTAGAATTTCAAAGACAGAGTCTCTGGTTACTACTACTTATCCTACTCTACCCTATCCCACGCTATATCCCAAGAAGGAAACAGGAAATGTTATTATAGTAGCTCAGACTAGCTCTAGATATCAAACAAAGAAACAAGTAAGGAAGTGCGTAGTAATACTACTATACAATCCCTAAACCATCCTTATCTAATACCTAGTAATAGAAGCATAAGTCCGAATATCAGAGGTAGCACATAACACAGTAGTGCATTCACAACCCCACACCCACATCTCCTCATACATATTCATCCATTCTAGTGTTACAACGTTGTTGAATCCATGATTTATTGGATTCGATAAGACTGACTGATCCATGTATACTCACAGGACATTATACAGAAAACTCTCTCCACACTGTAAATCGCAGACTAAGAGACAGAGAACACGAAACATTGGAAAAAAGCAATTCCATACTCGGGATCCCCCAAAGCGTGCTGCGGTATCATATTCTGTACAGTACACAAGAAAATCCACAATGTGAAGAAAAGAAAAGTAATGTAATCGCCCTCTTTGATGCCCAAACGCCCAGGTCCATCACCAACCAATCCACCCCGAAACGCCACGCTGAAACCATACCATACCGATATCAACACTTCACTTCCTCGCCCTCACGCTTTAGCAATCCACCCAGCACTCACGAAAAAGTCAAAGATCCTCCCCGCCTTCTGTCCATCAATTTTACAGAGCTCCTTGACCTGTTTCTTCTTCAGCGATCCATTCCCTGTAACGGCTTCTTTGATAATTCGTTCCTTCAGAACGAGATATGGCTTGGGTTGGATCCGACATATCTTGCAGAGTTCCACTTCTTCAGGACTTAGAAGATGGAGATCAGAGGCGTTCTCCTGCGTGAGTGGAAGAGGTTGAACACCGGCCAGAGGTGGAATTTGGTATTTTGTTTTCGTTGTTGGGGCCGCAGTGCCATTTACGCCATTTGCGCCATTTGCGTGACCATTAGAAAGAGAACTGTTGGTCTTTTCGGCGAGGACGGCTCGAGAGGGAGCTTCAGGTTTGTCTGTGGTGAGGAGACCTGGTGCGAGCTCCGGTGCTATTAATGCTGCCACGCCTGAAGGGGTTTCAACAACTGGAGGGGGTTTGGCGCTACGTTGACTGCTCGCCAAACGTTCACGGTCCAGAGAACCCATTGGCTGTTTATTTTGGGCCCGCAAGGACTTTTCAATTTCGTATTTCTCTCCAGCACGAATAGTGCTAATTTTATTACTCCGCCATTCTTGAAGTTGATTGATTGCCTGCCGGAGATGAAGCTCCTTGATTAGACCAGATGTAAAATCCTCATAATCATTCTTGTTCATCATCCGCGCAAATGGTTTTGCTTTGTTAAGCAGGTCCCTCTCCTCTTTCGTCCTTTTCTTATCAAGAGCTGCGTTCTTTCGATATTCGAGTAGCCCATGTTCAAAGATGACTTTCTTCCTCTCCGCTCGCTGAGTCAGCCGAGAGTTGTAAACGTCCATGACGGTCATCTTCAACTCCATTTCTGGCTCCAGTTCTCCGGTTCGTGGGTTGATACCATCTCCAGGATCGAATTGCATGAGCTGAACGGCCTCTTCGGCCTCGTTGCAAAATTCCGTCTCAAACTCCAGCCGCCCGGGCATGTATCCAGCAACCTCGTGACATGACGGTACACTGGCGGTAGGCTTCTTCTTTGGCTGAGCTGGCGGCGCATTCTTTTGCTTTTCCTTGCGGTACTCTATTCTACGCTTCTTTAGCGTCTGGAATTGTTCTCTCGGCACTTGTTCCAGTAATTCTGTATCCTTTGGACTTGCGCGCTCGGGCAATGGAAACTTGGAACTGTTGACGTATGTGTTTATGTAGTGCTCAGCAACTTCATTCTTGTCCCTGTACCCACCAATATGGTCGGCGATATCAGCCCAGGAACCAAGACCATATGTTTCGCACCCTTCCAGCAGTAAAAGTTCCTCGTCCGCACCCCAATCCTTATCGTATATGGGTACCGAGTTTTGCTCGATGACGCGAAATGGATGCGTAGCCGGTACATGATTATGAGAGGTTTCGCAATTTGCAAAGCACTGCACGCAGAGATCGTACTCGTTGCAAGCGCTGTGGGCGCATCGTATCCTCACCTGGAGGCAGCAGGTCAGCATCGGCGCAAAATAGCGTGAATTGCCACCAGATATATACTCACAGTTGATGTAATATCTGCAGAACAGACGTCGCAGACATATTTGACTCCCCCTTCCCCTAGGCGATTCGCCGTCTTCTTACGAATAACACCCATCTCGTCCTCTTCCTGTCCTCCGCTGCCACCTTCCACACTGGAGTGGTTCACCTTGGTGGTGTTGGGGGCGTGCACTGGCCCTGGCCCTTTGCGAGCGATTGAGTGATATGTAGCGCGTGGTTGGAGGTGGGAGAGAAGTTCTTCATTGATAGCGGATTGGAAGTTGTGATGGGCGCGCCGTCGTCTGGTGGTAGAGTAAGCCCGCGCTACTGTAACTTTCAGCTAAGGTTGAGTTGGAGTTGGACGGTAGGTTTGAATGTGGGGCGCTGAGAAAAGGGCTGACGGCTCCTATTGGTTGGATGTCTTGGCCTAGATGTGGGGGAATTTAGGTCGGAGTCGCCAGTGGTCGCTCAGTCGGTTCAGTTTCTTTGTTTTGGTACGGAGTACGAGTACTCGCATCGGAAGAATTGATCTCATTATCTACGTCATGCCGACATAACAAGTCTCATGTGAATTCTGCTATTGAGATCGGTCTTTACAGCATTCTGGGTATCTTAATCGCAAATTATGATTCACTGGTATCTGCTTTTATTGGAGTCACATAGGTTGGCAATTCACCTACCGATCTACTGCCCAGGTACCCGTAGACTTGAGTACTACAAGTACGTGTTGATCTTCGTTTCAAGCCACCCCTCGGTAGCGATACCGATACCATAAAACACCAAGATAGGAGCAGCTCGTAGGCTATTTAGTCCTGGTGATAAGTACCTGAGTATGACTATGCAAGTGAACTCTTTTCACATAATACTTATGATATCATTTTTGGGTAGGAATTGGGTATTGACCTAGTAACTACCTGTAACTCGTCGGCTGAAGTTTACTTTGCCCAGAACCTGAAAGCTTGAATTCTTTACTTTGGCCTCCTATGAATTAATTTATAGAAAGTAAGCTGAGTCAACGTAGTCGTTTTTGGAAGTCAAGTGATGTTGATTCAAACCTACTGTACCTACCCAAGGTACACAGGTAGTTTCAGAGCTGGAGGATCTTGAATGCTTTGAAGTGCTTATACCTAGGTATTATCTGCAATTCAAGTCCCAAATAGTTTCACATGAGATGCATAACGACGACCTACTGCAATGCATATAAAGTGCAGCGCAAATCAGTTGGGAAATCCCTCAATAAGACCCAAAATTCCCAAACAACACTGGTGCAGGTCGCTTGCTGGCCCGTGAATCTGTTCCCAAGACTGGCAGATGGAGAACGAAGCCTAACTCCGCCAAGACACACCATACGCTGCCACGGCCGCCCAGGTGCTGCTCAGCGCTGCTTCTGCCCAGCCGGGGACTCATCGTCCCCATCCTGCCCTGTGGCCCTGTGAATCCCCCTTTTGCCTCACCCGACACCCAACACAACACCTCCTCCTCCTCTGTGTACTTTCTGTCCTGCGCAGCGCATTCTGGTCATCATCAACACACCTGCACACACAAACCCAAACTCGCACCTGACTTGAACTTGGAATAGCCTCAAGTTTGGTTCCTCCTGCACACCATCCCGCACTTCAAACCACCACCTGCCGCACACATACTCCAGCATACTCCAGCGTAACTAGTTTGGCGGGGCAGCAGGCTCTGGTCACCGCACCTTCCAACACGTACTCCTCGTGCTCTCAACACCACCGATCACCAACATCCTACGCCTCATCCCTCTCCCGCACCCTATTACCTATCTCCCACCTCCACCAAAAACATCAATATGTCTCGCTTCCTAACCAAGAGTAAGTGTAGTTCTAATACCATGTTTTCCTAGTCACAACAGTACCAAGGAGGCTGTCGATCTGGATCTGTACAGCATCGTGAACCTCCAAACTGACAGCCAGCCAAATATATCACCCATAAATCCTTCAAAAACCAATGCTAAATGTCATATTCTTCTAGAGCTCAAAGAGACACACCTTGGCCCTCTTGCCAACACATTCTCTCGTTCGCCATCTACCTCAACCATCACTCCAGATTCCAAAGACGACAAGCCTACCACCCCCTCAAATGACAATGGGATTGGTATGTACAGATGTGTTTAAGTTCGCTGTTATCCTACTGATCTTCTCAGCTGCCTCAGAAGCCATAGCCACACAACCTGCGGCCCCACCGCGACCGGGTATTCTGATCGTTACGCTGCACGAAGGAACTGGATTTTCCCTACCCGACCAATACAAGAATGCCCTCAGTTCACATCAGCAAAACTCCCTTTCCCAGGGCAATGGCTTTGGAGTTGCTGGCTCAGTACGACCTGGCTCTTCGCAGCAATCAGGCAGCGTTGCTGGTTCTTTTGCAGGCGCTCGACCCCAGACTTCCGGGGGTGGATTTGGTGCAATTCCTACGAACCATGGTCGAATTTCCTCCAAGTACCTCCCTTATGCTCTTTTAGATTTCGACAAACTCCAAGTTTTCGTAAACTCGGTTGCAGGAACCCCCGAAAATCCCCTCTGGGCTGGAGACAATACTGCATACAAGTTTGATGTTTCTAGAGTTACAGAGCTTGCCGTGCATTTATACCTGAGAAATCCGAACGCTCCACCTGGGGCTGGGCGGAGTCAGGATATCTTCCTCGGTGTGACACGAATAAACCCTCGTTTCGAAGAAGTCCATAAATATGTTGAAGACCCAAAATTGAGCAAGAAGGACAAGGAAAAGGCATTTGCAGAGTGGCAAGCAAAAGAAAAAACACTTGGTCTCAGCGGAACGGAGTGGCTGGACGTTACCTATGGAACAGGTAAGCTCCGAATTGGGGTGGAGTACGTTGAGAACAGAACAAGATCTTTGAAGATTGAAGATTTCGATTTGTTGAAGGTCGTTGGGAAGGGAAGCTTTGGAAAGGTTATGCAAGTAAAGAAAAAGGATACCCAACGAATCTACGCCCTCAAGACTATCCGAAAAGCTCACATCATCTCCCGGTCCGAAGTCGCACATACTCTTGCTGAACGATCCGTCCTCTCCCAAATCAACAACCCTTTTATTGTCCCTCTCAAGTTCACTTTCCAATCTCCAGAAAAGCTCTACTTCGTCCTGGCGTTCGTCAATGGAGGAGAATTGTTCCACCATCTTCAAAAGGAGCAGCGCTTCGATATCAACCGATCGAGATTTTACACAGCAGAGCTTCTATGTGCTCTGGAGTGTTTGCACGGTTTCAACGTCATTTACCGAGATTTGAAACCAGAGAATATTCTCCTCGATTATTCTGGACATATTGCACTCTGCGATTTTGGTCTCTGCAAATTGGACATGAAGGACGAAGACCGAACCAACACCTTCTGTGGAACACCGGAATATTTAGCTCCTGAATTGCTCCTCGGCAACGGATATACCAAGACGGTGGATTGGTGGACTCTAGGTGTTCTATTATACGAAATGTTGACTGGTCTACCACCATTCTACGACGAGAACACCAACGAGATGTACAGAAAGATTTTGTCGGAGCCTCTCCATTTCCCTGGTCCTGAGATTGTTCCTCCATCCGCCAAGGACCTCCTCACCAAACTTCTCAATCGCAAGCCCGATCAAAGACTAGGAGCCAATGGTGCATCTGAGATTAAAGCACACCCCTTCTTCCACAGCATTGATTGGCGCAAGCTGCTCCAACGTAAATACGAGCCAACCTTCAAACCCAATGTGGTAAGTTTTGCAAGACTAGGCCAAGGTTGATGGCAACTGACTGACTGTAATACAGACTGGTGCTCTCGACACGGCAAACTTCGATGTCGAGTTTACAGGAGAGGTGCCTACAGACTCGCTTGTGGATGGTCCTTTACTTTCACAAACCATGCAACAACAGTTTACCGGTTGGTCTTATAATCGACCTGTTGCAGGCCTTGGCGACGGGGGAGGAAGTATCAAAGACCCCTCATTCGGCAGTGTTCAGGACAGCAGGTAGGTAATCGATAGGCATACACTTTCGACTACGACGAATATGAAGAAATGAGATCTTGCCACTTGAAAATGAGCATTGCACCTCTTGGTGGCTCCTGATATCTGGGCTGGTTGATTGCGTGGCAATTCCCTGTAGAAACAGAGGAGCTTCTTTCTTTCGTGATTGTGATTGCGGCGTTTTGAAGGGATGGATTCTATGGCGGCTGGAGAAGTACTTTGGTGATGGTGATTTGGTGGGCAAGCCGTGAAAAAGGTCACTACTTACATAGAACAATGTGTTGATTACTGCATTTGAAAAATTTGAGAGCTCATGATTATGCATCCTTGGTCACTACCTGCATTTGGAAATTGCACGTACATGTACTGCCCATGTTGGGAGCATCATACCCCCTCCCCCCCGCCTGGGCCCACCATTAGTAAAGACTTTGGACCCCCCGAGACTAGGCCTTTCTTGTTCCATCGTATTCCATATTAAGTAGCGGAGGAACTCTAATTCAGCGTCACGGCGGAAGGCAGGGGAAAAGCCAGCCCCCCACGGAGATGATCTGAAAGCTGGGCTGCAGGTGTGCTTAATCATACGCACACGCATGGGCAGTCGGGCGGGTGAAGGGGTGGGGTGGGGCAATTCCGGAAATCCACTCAAACGTCACTGATGCTTCTCATTTATTCTTCTCTCTCCCAACTGCCTGAACCCATTACTTTGACTTCCCCAGAATACCGACACTATCAATCTTTTCTCTTACCTAAGGTACGTTCGTAATGCTCTGATTCTCCCCCAAGAATTCTTCGAGTGGCCTGGACAACCTGAAAACCCAGTGCTGAGGGGTAGAGGTGCGGGGTTGTTTGAACCAAACTACCTTACCTATCAGCTACATCCCAGCCACCGCTGTATAACATACCACCTACCACCTTTCTCATTTGGAAACTGGATATAATTGAACAGTCTGCTAACGGTTAAGCTCACAGAGTCAATAACTCCAAACGACTCAATTCCATAGAATCAGACCACAACAGAAGCAGCCAACCTTTTGAGCCAACTCTTCTCCCTCAATACGAGACAAGTTCCAGCTAGACAACATGGTCCAAGCCGACAGCCTTCCTTCGTGGAGCAAGCTTCAAAAGCACCACAATGAAGTTGGACGAGGATTCGTTCTCAAGGACGAGTTCAAAAAGGATGCTTCCCGATTCGAGAAGTTTTCCTACAAATTCGACAATACAGCGGATAAGTCGGAGATTCTTTTCGATTTCTCCAAGAACTTAGTCACCGAGGAAACACTAGCCCTTCTAGTTCAGATCGCCAAGGAGGCCAAGCTGGAGGAGCTCCGTGATGCCATGTTCAGCGGCGAACACATCAACTCTACCGAAGACAGAGCCGTTCTGCACGTGGCTCTCAGAAATGTCGCCAGTGAGCCCATCTTGGCCAATGGAGCTGATGTTATGCCAGGCGTGAATAAGGAGTTGGAACACATGAAGGAGTTCAGTGAAGCTATTCGAAGCGGCCAGTGGAAGGGCTACACTGGCAAGCCACTTACCACCATTATCAACGTTGGTATTGGTGGTAGTGATCTGTGAGTTCTGAGATGCCGAGGAAGGAATGACCAGAAGCTAACTTATAAAAGTGGCCCGGTTATGGTAACAGAGGCCTTGAAGTTTTATGGTGACCGAAAACTGACTCTCCACTTCGTCTCCAACATTGATGGTACCCATATGGCCGAGGCTTTAAGAGAATCAGACCCAGAGACAACACTTTTCTTGATTGCTTCAAAGACCTTCACCACCGCCGAGACCACCACTAACGCTCAGTCTGCCAAGGATTGGTTTTTGAAGGAGACTGATGGAAAGGGCGACATCGCTAAGCATTTCGTTGCTCTTTCTACCAATGAAGCTGAAGTGACCAAATTCGGCATTGACGCGAAGAACATGTTTGGATTCGAAAGTTGGGTTGGCGGAAGATACAGTGTATGGTCAGCTATCGGCCTCAGTGTGGCAATTTACATTGGATACGAGAACTTCCATGAGTTTTTGTCTGGAGCCCACGCTATGGATACCCACTTCAGAAAAACCCCACTGGAGCAGAACATTCCAGTCATTGCTGGACTTCTGAGCGTTTGGTACTCCAATTTCTTTGGAGCCCAAACACACTTGGTCTCACCGTAAGTAACACTTCCTCCGCTCAGGTGCATTTCCGTGATACTGATGCTCGTAGATTTGACCAATACCTACACCGATTCCCAGCTTACCTTCAACAACTTTCCATGGAATCAAACGGAAAGGCTGTTTCTCGTGACAACAACATGGTCAAATACACAACGGGCCCAATCTTGTTCGGTGAACCAGCTACCAACGCCCAGCACTCGTTTTACCAACTCCTTCACCAGGGAACCAAGTTGATCCCAACCGACTTCATCATTGCAGCCGAGTCGCATAACCCCATTGCCAATGGCAAACACCAGAAGATGCTTGCTTCCAACTTTTTTGCTCAAGCAGAAGCCTTGATGGTTGGAAAAGGTGATGAAGAGCTGAAGGCTGAGAACACGCCAGAAACTTTGGTGAAGCACAAGACTTTCTTGGGTAACCGTCCAACAACCTCCATTATCGCGCAAAAGATCACCCCAGGTACCCTTGGTGCACTTATTGTTTACTACGAACACCTTACTTTCACCGAGGGCGCGATATGGAACATCAACTCCTTCGATCAATGGGGTGTTGAGCTTGGCAAGAGTCTGGCCAAGAAGATCCAGGCTGAGCTTGATGAGCCAGGTGTGCCGTCTGGTCACGATGCTAGCACTGGTGGATTGATTGCTGCTTTCAAGGCAAAAGCAGGTCTTTTGAAAGGTGACAGCAAGATCTAAGTGACTGTTCTAGGGAATTGGGTAATGGAAGATTGATAGTTAGTAACCAAAAAATGCCTGTGTAGAAGGAAATATGATTCTGGTTGTGATGCTTCTTATTGCTTGATGAATGACAATCCTCGATTGAAGAAATGAAAAATCTATGAATGATTCGGTTACTGTTACTTCTCTATCGTCATCGCTAACAATTGAGGAAAGATGAAAAGCATTACACTGCTTCAGAAATTTATTTCGTCGCAGGCATAATGAATGTTGTATTTCAGTGAAATACAGGATCAGCACGCCCGTTAACCTCAACATTTATTACGAGTTCTCCGTACGCCTGGGACGAAGTAGGTTACTGCTGCGTGGGGGTGGAGCAAGATCGTCCTAGTAGAGTTCGCGGTAGGTACTAGGAAGGTTGAGGCTTGGCATTGTCGACACAGTAATAATTCAGCGCAACCGATACAATTGATAACCAAGTGTCCTTTCGCTTTGGAGGAATTCCACGACCACGACATGCGCAAATCCTAGTCTGCGGGACTTGAGAAGAACACGATGGCGATACGGTTCCCGGTTCTTTCTTTTCCCCTGATATGCTTCTTGCTGTTCGTCCTCGAGCTTGGCTTCGTGGGTGAAGTGAATGCTGCCGACCACCCCAACATTCCCCTGCCGAGCTATCATTATGGGGCTCCGATTGAAGTTAGTTGTCTGAATAGAAGCATGTATGTTGTTCTCCTTCTGCTTGGTACTTTGGATCTTTGAGATGGGGTTCTTGCATTGGAATTCATGTCTGGGAGCTGTGCGGTCATGGAAATGCTAATAAGCTGTCTGGTAGTGACACTGGGGAGCATATTTCGAACGAGAAGAATGAGTTGGAGTATATATCCTTTCCCGTCTGCGAGGAAACCGGGAAACCACTAGAATTACGATATGGAGTTGAAGACGGTATCCTTCCCCTTCCCCAGCTTGCAAAGAGAGCTCTACTAATACTTTTCGCGCGCAGAGATGAACTGTACCATAGAAGTCATCACAGATCCCTTCTTCCACCTCCTCGAATTCTACATCCACAACGACGCACCGCTCTCCTGTCGAATCCCCTCGCGACCAGAGTCCACCATCCACCACAAAGACCACCCTCCCATCGCACAAGAATACGTGCCCTTAATCTTCGCCCTCGCAGGCACCCTCCAACTCTCACATCTACACATATCCACCCACCTCAACATCCTCATCCATTCCACGCCCAAACACCACCTCCACCACCACGACTCGGGCGTCATCGATTCCGGCGCCGCCTATTCCACCTCGCCCCTCTCGCACACCACCGGCCCCGCGGCCCTCACGAAGAAACTCGTCATTGGCGACCCGTTACCCTTACAGCTCTCCGTACGATGGTTCCCTACCCCCTCGCTGCCGAGGGAGAATGGGAAGGTGCAGTGGGCGGGTATGGGAGGACATTTCTATGTTAGTACCGCGTTTTATTGTTTGGTGAGTGCTGGGGCGGGGGCGAGTCTGGTGACGGTTTGGTTTTGGGGGGTGGTGTTGCCGAAGAGGATAAGGGATCGGGCGAAGGGGTTGGGTGGTGCGACGCCGTTAGGGTATGGGGTGGGGAATGGGTGGGGGATGGGGAAGAGGGATTAAAAGGGTACTACATATAGTAGTCTGTTTTGTGAAAATGGGAACGGATGGGGAACTTTGCATCAGAGAATGCAATGGGGCATATGGTGGCGTTTGGGGCATTATTGTTGGGTCAGGTTCCAAGGGGCGGAGCATGGAGTCACTTCTGTGTGTACTGTAATGGTTAGGGTAGGAATTGGGATTCAGTGCGTGGACTAGAAGCTAATAGATCTGTTTCCCGACGCTTTCGGTGGGACAAGATGGCCACATGTGGCTCGCTTAACTTTTATATACATAGAGTAATTTATTACCTTTTTTTTTTATGCAATGGTTTGTACTGAATATTAAGGCCCTTATCTCTCCCTCCCCCTCTGCTCTTTTTTTCTTCGCTTGGAAGGAAAATAGACGGCTTATTATAGTATCATTAGTAAATGGTATTGAGAAGTTCTAGTCGAGAATTCTTTTGGGGGTTGGAATAGAATTTTGCTTTTTCGATAGAGGGTAGGTAAGTTGTGAGTTGTGACTTGTGATGGTCTTGGGGGGTTTCTCTTTTTTTGGTAGGGGGTGTTTATTCGTGGGAACGGGNTTTTCGATAGAGGGTAGGTAAGTTGTGAGTTGTGACTTGTGATGGTCTTGGGGGGTTTCTCTTTTTTTGGTAGGGGGTGTTTATTCGTGGGAACGGGGAGGGGAAGGGGAAGGGGAGGGGGAAAGTTATAGGTAGTGTGGTATAAGAGGAAAAGTTATGGGAGGTTAGGTAAGCTTCACCTAGGTAGGAGGTACGAGGATGGAAGATGGGGAGTTTGGGTTCGGGTCGTCTTATACTTGGTCGTTAGAATAGAGTACTGAGGTGATGAGGGGAGTGATTTTGCTGTTGAGGTGGGGTTTGTGTTTTGTGTTTACAGAGTGGATAGGGGATAGATGGATAGATGGTGCTTCAGTAAGACTTAGCCAGGCTAGATAACTAGTTAAAGAACCGTCTTACTGTCAAATAGACGCAGTAGATAGCTCCGAGCATAGGAAAGAATGAGCCTTTGTCGCTTCTAAACCTATTTATCGTACTGTATATAGCGCTACTAGTTAAAGTCAATCAATACTAGCAAGTAATTCTCTGGTTCTGTGGCGGACTAAATCAATTAGGGATTACTAGCTCGTCTTGCTTGGTAGAGTACGTTACTATCTGCTCTTCCCTTTTTGGGGTATGGCGTGGGTTGGAGGGTTTGTTTTGTATGCTTGTAGGATATGAGGAAGGGGGTTGGTGGGGGTTGGGTTTATGGATTGTTTTGTGGTGTCTGGTGAGTGGGTTCTTTGTGTGAGGTGGAATGTGTGGGGACTTTGGGTGTAGATTAGTTATGCGATTTGATTGAGGTAGTTGTGAAGATGGCTTGTCTTCTTGTATAGCTGTGTGTGTATCTTTTTTGTTGGGATGATTGCTGTGTATTTGATACTGGTAGACTACTTCGTCACTGTTGCTCTTTGAGAGTGTTATCTTTGGTAGGTCAGTCAATGTCTATCACTCTAAATAAATAACTAGCTCTGAAAAAAAAAGCCCCTCTACTTAAAGATTTCTGTACCAAATACTAGCCCCCCTCTCAGGTTCATTCTGATTTGGACTTACTGGATGGTCTTGTACTGACTGAGTTAATTGCCCTCGTGAAGTCAAGGCCATTGAGCATGGTGTTTCTGAATAGACACTCTCTAGTTAGGGCCATGTCGGGAAAGTTAAGGATTCTACGTCGAGGTCATCACACGTGAGTGGTCCAAAGATTCCTGTATCTTTGGGCCCCAAATTGTTTTTGGTCAATTCGGAATAGATTCCACGCCCTTCGGTGGGGGGCTAGATTTTCCAAGCCAAGACACCAGTATCAAATTCAGGATCTCAAGAAGCGACCAATGACATAACATCCTGTTGTTTGACCTGGCCTTTGTACGAAAATGCGATGCTATGTGATTGGAGGTGTTCCCAAACCGCCACACAGGGGGGTGGGTCGTACAGCATTAGGTAAACGAAATGTTCCTGACATCAACATCTTTGTGCTATTGAGATTATTTGATATGGAAAATCAAGGTTATTTATGGATACAGGAATAATATGTCAGAAGATGGGGAACTTCCTCCGAATCATGCTGAGTATCTTGGGAAACTGGAAGATAATCGCGGGTTTGTAATTGATGCAATTGATCGGAGCTGACCTGGGAGACGGGGGGCGGCAGGAGATGGGATGCCTTGAGACACAACACAGCACGACATCTTGATTGAGCACAACATATCTCGCTCTTATTTTATGGGTGCTTGGTACGATAAGTAGAAAGGTGATGGCGAGTACCCGTAAAACTCCAATCCCCTTATTTCAATGGAATCTCCTACTGACTACTATAGTTCTCAAATATCAAATCAAAATTCGATTCAAGAACAAAGAAAGCCCCCTCGATGACTTGGGAAACCTCTCATCCTTTTACGGTCATGCGGCTGAAGAATCCCCTTTCCGACCCACAAAAACCCCTCGCTTAGTCCGTGTGATTGGCTCCCTTTCCGTGTGTGGCGTACAGCAATATTGCTCCTGTACATGGTTTACGATCGTCCAACACACCCAAAAGCAAGCTCTCAAAATAGAATTAAATCCCACCCACAGAGCAGGCAGCATTTGATGCCAAGCACGTCTGTCACTGGCAGGTTCACGCCTTTCTTGGTCCAGAGCTCAGCCCTTTAGCTTCCGTACCCAATAACTGGGGCTGTACGGCGAGGCCTTTGGGAGATGAGTTTAAGAGGGAGTACAGTTTCCCGTGTTCAAAATGAAGGGCGTCGCCGGTTTATTTATTGGGTGAAGTACTGACTACTGAAACTTTTGAATCTTCTTTTCTATTTGGATTTTGTGAGTGTTGGTTTTTCACTTCGTCAATTGATTCTACATCAAAGAAATTGTGAAATAATGGCTGCTACTTGGGATCAAAAGCGTGAGTTTGGAATATTTGCCTAGTTGAAAGCTATTGAAATGCTAAATTGTGAACAGCTGTGCCAGAGTACCCTGCTCAACCTCCACCAGGGGCTCCACCAGCTCAACTTCCCACACCGAGTCCTATTCAGTACCAGCAAACTGGCCAAGCGTGAGTTTTTCTCGATTCTTTAGTCTTCTCTCCGCATTATTTGAGAGATCCTATCTTCCCTCCAACCGCAAGATCTTGCCTTCTATTTTCAGCAATTCCACATCTCCACAATCTACCTCCACAAACTTCATAAAACTAACATCTACTCCTCGTATCAGACAACAATACTTTCAAGAACAACCCGGCCAACATCCACAAATGCAACAAACCAGCCCCCAAGGAATTCCCCAACAACCACAAGTGGTATACATGCAGCAATCCCCAGGTGTCCCAGGACAACCAGGTCATCCACAAAGCATACCTATGCAACAAACATCTCCCGCTACCCATGGCGCACAACCACAACACGGCGCACAACCCGGAGGGGCTCCTGGGAGAACATTTCAGAACGTGACACCACTTGCGAGTTTAGGACGTAGTCCGGCGCCGGTGGATTGCCCTGCTTGCGGACAGAGAAGTATGACTAGGATTGCGTTTTTGGCGGGGAACTATACACAGTACGTTTTACCCATAACCCTCGTTTGAAGACGCGGTGAGTTCGTCTCGCTAATTGTTGTTTAGTGGATGGGCGGTTGGACTTTGCTGCTTGACTTGGTTCTTTTGCTGGGTGCCGTATGTGGTTGATGGGTTTAAGAACGTGGATCATAGTTGTGGGAGTTGTGGTGTGTTGCTTGCTACGTGGCATAGAAGTGGTGGGGTTGATGTTCATCAGCATCAGTAGATGTCTCGCTTATTTTTAGGTTTGGCTCGGCGGGCATCGATAATGAGGAGACGAGGCGAATTTTGGGATTCGAAAGAGGAGTGAGGGTATATTGTTTGATATAGGGGTTTGATTATACTTGGATATGTTTGGATTGGTGTGGGAAGGATGTTGGTTGCGTATCATACCCGAATAGCTATAATTTGTTAGTAATGCACCTTTTGTTGCGTATATAGCTTCGTTACCGTCCCAGCTTTTATGGGGTAACGAAATTTGATCAAGTGCTTTGAATTTTCACATTTGCTTATTGGTTTTGAAGCCATAGATCGCAAGAGACGTGGTCGTTACGCTATACACATCTCGCTTAGGATCACATTAACCTTAACGCCTTGTACGACTCATACAAAGAGTTTAGAACAATTGTTAACGCTTGATTTTAATTAATCTACGTATATTAAGACGATTATTTTACTTATACTCAAGTTTAGTATAACAACTTCTATAGTTTGGACAGAGTAATGACCGGTTATCTTATGAACCCTAGAGCAATTCTTTTTGTGAAGGTTAATTTGTTTCGACTGAAAAATTGGAAGCACAACCTGCTAATTCTCTTGATAAATGCGTATGACATATAGGCAATATGCATGGAGGAAGATCTAGTTATCTTGCCATAGTTGCATTTATTAATTACCTCAGCCGATAATCTCGTCTGTCTATACCCTCCCGTGTTTCAAAATCTGATTGGAAATTTCCTCGATTGGCATGTAAAGGTATATATCTCTTGTGTTCTATATAATTCCACTTCCAGCCTCGCGTATCGTCTAACGGTATATCTTCAACCTCGTAAATCTGTACCAATCGGTGACTGCATACACGTTCCCTCATCTATAGTTTTCGCCTCGTCAAACTTCCGCATAATCCTCGAGCCTTCCCTAAGTACAACCGCTAGGAATATTCTTGAGCAGTTTATACATCAAGGGTTCTATATCTAACAAAGAACATTCTCATTTACGCTCAAAATGCATCATCTCTTACTCATCCTTGACAGAAGCCCATAATTCCCTGATCTGGCTCACGAATGCATTGACATCCTTTTTGATCCAGGGCATTGCATGATGATAGTCAATTTCAAGCAATTTTGCGTTGTCTTTGGCGTAGTGGGCAGCTAACATTGTGCGGCCGTTGGTTAGATTTCCATCTTTGAGACCATGGAGATGAAGAGTGGGTATCTTTATTAAGTCGAGTTTTTCAGAGCCATCTGCAACCATGATTAGTTTTATGAGACTTCAAGAGGATCATGAACCGGAACCCCCACATGAGTGAGGTAGGCTTCAGAATGAACGGTGTACAAACCACGTGAAATCGCAGAAACCATTGGAGCACCACCGCCCATACACATAACCCCAAACTTCAAGCCCATCCCCGCCTTCTTGAACCCCTCCTCTTGCCTCTTTTGTTGATCCAACAACAAACCCCCCGCAATCCTCGTCCCCTGACTGAACCCCATAACCCCCACAAACCCACCTCCTGCCTTTCTCATCAACTCCCATACCCTCTCAACCCCATCCTCCCCATTCTCGCCATCCTCGAAGCCTCCCCCATCACTGACTTCCACCCCTATACCATTAACAGTGGAAAGGGTGAACCAGGTACGATAGGGCTGATACATGGGCTCCGCAAAAGCGGGCAGAATTCCCGGTCCCGCGCCCCGCTGGAAGGGCGCATCGAAGAAGACGAATTCGAATTCTTCGGAGAGGATGCCGGATACTTGGGCACACTGAATGGCGGAGATTGAGCTGTTGGAGCCGCCGCCGTGGAAGAAGGCTATCCTTGGGAGAGGCATGGTTCTTGGTGTAGTTAGGATGAAGAGAGCTAACTTGAGGTGATTTTCTTGTTGCGGGCTAGAACATGCGGTTGGGAGAATTTGCCACGTAGGTTGTTATGAAGGGGAATCTTTTACTTTTCTTGGTGTTTGTTTCCTGAATCGTGCTGATGTTTGATCGGGGTTCGATAATCTTCGGTGCATTTCGGGTTGATTGGCATCCTTGATCGGAGATTCCCCGAGGAGGTCCGTTTTCAGCGATTGTCCGACATGTGATATTTTTATGCCTTCGAGGCGTGTAAGCATATCTATTTCTGCAAGAACTGAGATAAGAGAGTGACTATATCACAAGGATCAATTTCTACTCGTATCTGACAGCGGTCATTGTTACATAGTCACGTGATATGACTCGATCTTACTACATCTAGGCATTAACTAATCTATCTTCTTTTCTGCTCAGCATGATTGTTAAAGCAATTGAGAAGGTTGATATATTCATTGTCTGTTTTGGTTGGTAAGGGGAGAACTGATATATCTTTAAGGTGCTGGCGATAAGGGTTAGCGAGATCCGCTAATTCAGTGAAAGTTCAAGTTTACTATTGCCCATCGTTGGATGCTACGTATGAGTCAGGAACCAAGAAGATATCGCAGATCAAGACAGCATAACCAGATAGTCGTTGAAAGTTATTGAATACTAAAAGAGACTTTTCGACACGGTGCTAATATCTAGATATATTAGGCCGCGAACGAGGGTCGGGCCAGGGAACAGCGTTCAATTAACCACCGAGGACTCCTCCCAATCCCTCACGGATGGAATTCCCGTCCTCCAGAGTAAAAGTAAAGGCTGTTAGGTAAGAAGAAAAAATTGGCAGACTTGCCGAGTTCTTTAATTTCTTTTCTGTCACATACTGTTATGATGTTTGGTACAGTGCATACAAAGAAATATCATTTGCATTGATCTAGAATCACCAACCAATACCCCACTCTGGTTGGATTAATCCCTCGCAAAATCCAAGAGCTCCAAACGCAATCATGGTCTTCCCTTCTTCTTCGACTCATTCTGCTTTGCAGCTCTACTCTGTCTGAAATCCTTGCCAGTCTTCTTAGTCTGCTTCGTATGCTTCGTCTTGGCGGGTTGCTTTGGATTTGGTACGACTTTGTGGGTCCGATCCTCTGGCTTTGTCTCGGTCTTCTCCTCGCCATCTTTCTCCTGTTCGTCGAGCAACTTCATGACATAACCACTGAGACGCTTTTGAAGGTTACTGTTTGGTTGTACTTCAACCCACTCCTTGTTTCCCAATTTTTGATGAAGGGACCATCCAGTAAATCGAAGGGAATAAACGAAGCCGCATTCTTCATTTGTCCCCATGAGAAAGCCGGTAAACTCAAGCCAACATCGAGCTTACGAATTCTGTAGAAGCTGTTCATAACTGCAGCAAGGTCCTCGATGAATTCTCCTTGCTCTTTCTTAAGCTCGACAGGCTCGTTTCTGCTTGAATGGAAATATATGCACAAGGTGACGAAATGTGCGAATGTGTGATAATCACCGAGAATCTCCAGAAGATCACCGGGCTCGATGTATTTCTTTCCCTCATGCTCGCGATACAACGTGGTCTCAGATGATGGGGTGAAGTAAATGTTGACATGAAGGACTCGACCGCCATCTTCTGTTCGAATGGCCGGATGGCTACGAACGCTAGCTGAAGCGTCGTGGGCTGTTGATGTGCGGTTGTATTGACTGGATGAGTCGCCCTCCTTTTGGCTGTGCTTATCCAACATCTCACGCATAGAGGAGGGTGCCATGTTGATACTTGTTATGTTTGAGGAAGAGATTTGGGACTCAGTTGATCGAGTGCTGGTACTTCGCAATGGGAAAGGATGAATACTGTTGATGGATGCGAAAGGGAAGAAATAGTCTGGAATGGTGAGAAAATAAAATACATAAACATATTAGGCATGTGCCCTGTTGGCCTGTGACATAGGTGCTCAAGCCATAGCCCTTCTACTTAAACGGATTCACCTATGTAACGTGTATCAGATATATCCGTAGTAGTGGGCGAAGGGAGCTTGTTTCTCTTTTAATGTTTTCACTCACAAATTGTAGCAAGAAACAAAGTAAGAGAATTCACCTGAAGTAGTCCTGTTTATCTTAGTTTGCTTATGTTCAAGTTCACGTACGAGTGAGGATATATATATGATTTGGGTCAAACAGCCCCTGGGGCACTTGTGAGGTTATTCGCACCTCATCAAGTGGAGCCCAGGCTGCCAAGCGCTCAATTCAGGCCAATCTAACTACCTAATACTGGTGGATTGTTCAGGAATTGCGGAGGGTTAAAAAAGAACGCTTCTTTGCTAGAGTGCTGTACAACAACCTTTCTGATTGTAGATTGCTGTTGTGGACAAGTGATCAACTGGAGCAAACGATATACGCAAACTTGCTTAGGATACGCAAAACACATCCTTTAACAAAGCAGAGGAAAACCAAAAATATCGCTCAAGTCTCTCATATAACTCTGTGAATATGGGCCAGCGATAGTATTTAAAGGCATGCAGAAAGCAAAACAATAATAAATCAAAAGCAGTTAGTGAGATACGTACTACTTGCAGTCTTTGATTCACTTGGCTTTTGTGCTATTCTGACATTCTGACTGCTTCTTTGGAAGCCAAGGTTCGTTACTTGAGCCTTCCGCTGGTGAACAGGGAAGATCAACAAATCCTGTCACAACTGTAACTTCTGAAAGCCTACTTCTGAAGCCAAGGTACAAGTATCTTCGTCCTTACTTCTCAACTCCTGCTTTTGTAACAGGTCTTCAACCAAGTGCCACAGGCAATACACATATCAAAACTCCTTTCAGTCAAGAGACATACGCGATGGCTCGTTTTGCAAACGAGGGTACTCCTGCTCACCCAAACATCCGTCGGATGGATTCATCTTCCTTGGAGGTCATCCTAGATTTTACCAAGAATAGCCCATTTACTCTCCGCCAAGTTGAGGATAATGGAGATTGGCGATACGATATTACCTTCCTTGACATCCTAAAGCCCCATAATACTGAGGAGATCGACAACGTTAGACTCATCGTCAAATTTCTACAATCCCACGTCGAAAAAAACAGCAAGGATGTTCTCAACGATCAAGCCCAGATTCTTCGGCACACAATCAAAGAGCTCAACAAGTTCGATCATTTGGGAGCCTTTGAGGGAATGTTTGAGATGCCGGGAAAGATGCTGGCTTGGAATCAACTTAGAAACGCAGCATACTTATACCAGATCAATCCAGAAGTTGCTTGGTCGTTTGAGTACAAGGTCGGTATATCTGAATGGCAAAAGTTAGCAATTGGTTCTGCGTTAGACAACGAACTTGAGAATTATTCCAAGGCACTGAATGTAACCGTGTGGAGTGAACCACTGCTTGCTGTGATGAATACGGAGTCAAACGGAAACTGCTGTATTGAGCGAACAACAAAGTGAGGAAGGAAGAGAGTTCCAGAGGAACGAGAGCTTAAATACAGGATGCCAGCAGCGCGCACGTGACACATA